GGAGATGAAAACTTGCTCTCACCCTTGCAGTTCATTTTAAAATGATTTGTAGGGAGATGACTTTGAATGTTTATATTAGAGGTCAGAATTATAATTATCACAATTCTTTTATAGTTCTCATATGCCAAAACTTCATTGGGACAAGCTGCATTTTCTTATAATATCAAAAAATGAGAGCGGTGGAGGGGAAGCACAGAGAGGTTCTTATTTAGTTATACATGAGGAAAGTATAGATAACCCCATTGAGATAATGGCTGGGCAAACTCATCGATTGTATATAACCAAAATTGTAAAGATGATGTGGGAGGTAAAAGGGAGAGGGATGAGAAAGGGAAGGACATGGCATATAAACTGATCAAAGTACATGGTGTACTTCAAAGAAATTGTCCTTATGAAACATAAACTATTTACGGAGAAAATGCACAGATAGGCTTTGAGGGAGAGCAGAGAGATGAAACTGGAAAGGAAAATTGGGGGCTGGAAGTGAGTAAATAAGAACGGGAGACACATTAGAAGACAGAAGAAAGGGGTATCAACAAGACTTCATCTAAAAATCCCATAATGAACTAAGCAGTGAACCAGTGTCATGCCAGGGTATATTAACTAAAGAAAGAATTACTTCCTTTGTGATAAGAAATTTCATTTTATAAAAAAATATTAAAATAAATTGACTTGTGAGGTTTTAATCGTTAGATTATCACTTAATTTGTAGACATAGTTTTACAAAATCTCAGGTGTTTTTTAGGGGATTTGTTTCCAAACACTAGCTTATACTTTCTGATTGAAGAATTCAGAATTGAACTCTAGTTTGTTATATGTAAGGCAGAGTAAGTCTTTCATTTCTTCAGCTATCTTTGGGATTTTCAGACTACATAGTATATTTTGTTAAATGCATCATTTATATAGAGCATTATTGTGAGTCCACCTCTATTTCTTATCAGTCATCACTTAAGCTGTCTGAAATTGTCACCACCCTGAGATGTCATTCGTTTTATCTGCGTATTTTGTTGTGATAAAAACAGAAAGCAAGCACAGAGCCACAAAAGAACCAAATAAAACCAACAATTTTAAGCAAATGCTGGGTTTTCTTAAATTGTTTGGGCAAAATTATTTTAGAAAAGAGTCAAGAGTGAAGGAGTGAGAGAAAGAAAAATATAATACCAGTAACAACTGCCTGATTATGGCTAATGTGTCACATTTTGTTTGGATAGGCAGACTTTATTAGTTTCTTCTGTCATAACTATGATCAAATACCTGACAAGAAACAACTTAAAGAGCAAATGATTTATTTAGTCCATTGTTCAAGGATATACAATCCATCAAAATGGGGAAATCTGTTCAGGTAAGGTCTCTGTGGAAGTAGGAGATTTGCTGTGTGACTCTTTACGTCTCCGTGGATCTAAAGGAAGAAGTGAGAGCAGTAGTGAGGCAGGACTATAATCTTCAAATGTTCATATCTCCTTGACTGTTTTCTTGGCCAGAGATCCAGAAGGTTCCATGAAATTGCAACCACAAACTGTCTATGGGACACATTTTTCATTCATACCATGGTATGGATTAAATTTAAATTAAAAATACAAAACAAAATATAATATGTCTATATGGCTATTTTATGTTTTTTCCCACCATTCACAATTTCTGACTGAATTACATATTTATGTTACATTATATAATTCATTTTATTTCTTCAATCTTTGGTATTTATTATTTTTTGCCCCTAAATCTTGAAACCTTGCTCCAGATTCTTTTAAGCAAAACTGCAAGTAGTAGATAAGCTTCAGTTTATGTTGCCATGTTTACCCCTAGATGGGAGCCCCAGGTAACAGAGAATCCCTTCCCTTTTCTAAGTTCTCTTTCTTAGTTTTGAGACAGCATCCCAGCATGTGAAGCATCCCTGGCTCATACCTGTTCTAAGATCTGCAAATGAGCTGTGCTTATGCTTTCTGTTTTGTAATATTTTCCCTGCCTGATTTCCTGGTTCACATTCCTCCCCTTTGGGTAAAACTACCAAAAGCACTATGTTTTCAAGATTTCTTTCTTTCTCTTTTTTCTTTCTTGCTTTTCTTCCTTCCTTTCTTCTTTCCTGACTTTCTTTTCTTCCTCCTTCCCTCCCTCTCCCCCTTCTTTCTCTCTCTCTGTGCCTCCCTCCCTTCCTTCTTCCCTCCCTCCCTCCCTTCCATCTTTCTTTCCTTCCTTCCTCCCTTTCTTTCTTTGTATTTTTTGTGTATGTGTGTTTTTCTGAATGTTTGTACATGTTTCATGTATGTCTAGTGCCTGTGGATGCCAGAAGAGGTCAGATCCACACAGTAGTTTTGTGTTCTAGGAGCTGAATCTGCCTCCTCTTTAAGGACAGCAAGTACTCAAGTTTTGAGCTTTTCTCCCCAACCCTACAAATAGACATTATTAAATATTGATTTCCATTGTTCTGTGACCCACATATATGATATCTTCATTAATATGGTGTAACTGTCCAGTTGTAGTGGTTGACCAGGAGTAATGTCAATAATCTGTACTATCTGGGTTCTGTGGGAAATAATTGACTAACAACTCGAAGAGAAATAATCCAGGCACTGGGTTTGTATTTGCTAGACTGTATTGGCTACTAGAGGAGCTGTTCCTTTGTTACAAAGTAATTTGGTTTAAATCCCCCCCCTCTCTCTCGTGTGTTTGTGTGTGTGTATGCATTGAAGCTTCTACAGTAGTAAATTTCCATATGACATTTTAAAAAGGTCTGAAGTGTTCATTATCACATCCTTTACCCTTTCCTCCCACCCTAACTCACATAACCCTTTTAGCTCCATTACGTCCTCCCCCTTTTTACCATCACATTGTATCTCCTCTCCTCCAAAATCCCTTCCCGTGTGATCTCTGACAAATTTCCTGACCTCTACGGATATTCTAAAAGGAACACACATATCTACATATTCAACACAAACATCCACATACAAGACAAAAGCAAGTAAAGTAAGTCTTTGGGGGTCTCAATTTCCTCGGTGAAACCTAGACATAGCAACATGACTGGAGCTAAGAGCCTGTGACTATATGCCACATGCCTGAAGGGCGGGCCTACTACTGTTATTCAAATCAACTGACATTGTATTAAAATGAGTTTAGTTACTTATCATTATCCACCTACAGCAGTGCATCTCTCAACCTTCATCAAAGCAGCTTCTTGTTGTTGCAGACGGTGATCAGCAGAAACCCACACACAACTGGTCAAAATACAGAGAATAAAAGATTGGGAGTGTTTAGCACTAATTGGGACTTTGCAGCATATGCTATTCCCCCAAGGCACAGGGATGATGAAGGGAGAGGGAGCATAAAGACTGTAGGAGCTGAGTATGACTGCAATAAAGCAGTGTTCTGGACAGAAGACAGTTGTGTTTATGAACTCACAGCAGTTAGGACAGCATGCAGTAGGACAGCATGCAGAATACTTATACAAGTCCAAGGCAGACAAAATCTCAGCACGGAGTCTTAGAAGGTGGATGTCTTTTTCTGAGGACCCATTTGCAGTTGAAACTGCTTGGAAAGAGTAAATCGGTTTTCTTTAAGGTTCTATGATCCCGCCCTTGGTAGGACCATGATGCTCCAGGGTTGACCCTTCACCCAAGAGTAATTGCACTCACTGCGTTTAAATAACCGAATGAAGGACATGAAATGGGATGAATAGAGATGTGGGGAAGGATTTAGAAGGATTGGGATAGGCAGGTAAATATGATCAAAATACATTATATGAAATTCTCGAGGAATTAAGAAATGGTATTAAAAATAAGAAAGCTTAAATTCATTGTTTCCATAGATTCTATTAGAACAACTCTGCAGATTTTATCTGTTCTGTTGTGTTTTGTTTGTATTTGTCTCTTAAGATGTATTGTCTTGTTTCCCTTGTAGGTATAAGGACTCATCCATCTTTACCTTTGTTGCTTCTCCTACTGACTGATATAAATGACATACTCTGTTTGGGCTTAATTCTGAATAAGAATGAATCCTAGTTGACAGAGTAGTATATGGGAATTTTAGAATTATATTTTTGTTGTACATGATTGAATATTAAGTTACGTGTAATATTCCTAAAAATCGAGAGCTTTTCTGTTATTTGGGTCTCTGCTAGCCAACCTGGGAGACGTCAGAATTCAGTGCTGATGCTGCCTTCTCTCATGAGGTCCTGATTTTTAATCTCCTTTGTTAATGTTAATTTGTCAATGACTGTCATTAAGAATTAACTTACCAAATACCACCTGAATTTTGTGCTTGCAGAAACAACTCCAGTGCACATAATCATCCTAAGGATTTTTATCCTTTTTTCCTCGTAAGAGATCCCATCATTACTTCATTGCATTTGTCCTTACATTGTTTAACGTTGTTTCTAAAGTGGTTAACATTGACTTCATGCTATACTTTTCGTATATTTGTGTGTTCCTGTCACTCTCTACAGCTACAGAGATTGGTTGTGTATGTGTAGATTTTAGTGCTTTTTAAATAGGATTCCTGCCAAGTACTTTCAACTTTTATTGCTTAGATCTTATCTATTATATTTAACAGGGAAATAGGATTAAATTGCTGATCACTAAAGGTTGCCTTCTATGGGGAAATTATTACACTTACTAAATGTAGGGGGCATGTGTGCACATGGTTTGAAGGCAGAAGTCAAGGGCAGATGTTCTCACTTTTCTTATAGAGATGGGTCTTGAACATGCACATGTATCTAAGATACCTGTCCAGCAAGCCCCAGGGATTCCATGTTTCTGCCTTCGGGTGCTAGGATTGTAGGAGTTTGTACCATCACAGTCAGCTCTCTTGCCTGAGTATTTGAGTCTAACCATAAACTCCCATGTTTGAGCTACACATGCCTAAGCCATCTGTCCAGACATGAATCATTGAAGTTTTATGCTCCCTCATAGACATCCTTGTTAAATATTTTGTTTTTACTTTTAATTTTAAAAATAAAAAAACTTGTTTTAATGTAGTATAATTTTCATTTTCTTTTATTTCCATAGGCAAAAAGATGGCTTATCAGAAGGTCAATGCAGATTTAAGAACCTCAGGAAACTCACCTTACTTAGACAATGATGACATCCAAGCCACTGCCCTTGACTTAGAGTGGGATATGGAGAAAGAACTGGAAGAGCCTGGCTTTGACCAGTTCCAGCAGGATAATGCTGAGACTCAGAACTTGGGGCACTCAGAAACTTTAGACCTCCATCTTGATTCCATTCAACCAGCCGCTTCACCCAAAGGAAGGTTCCAGAGACTGGAAGAAGAACCTGACTATGTTACCCACTACACAAGATCGGCACCAAAGAGCAAACACTGCAACTTTTGCTACCTTGTAAAAATAGTTTGCACAGCCACCATTTTATTTATTTTTGGAATTCTAATAGGTTATTATGCACATATGAATTGCCCTTCTGATGCCACACCATCAGGAACAAAGGACCTTCAGTTATACCAGGATATTCTCAAGACAATCAAAGCAGAAGATATTAAGAAATCTTTCAGGTAAGTGCAGAGATGTGAATGTTGGGATGTATTTCCTGGGAAGTAAATCTCTAAAGAGAGCTAGCACTGGAGATACAAGCAAGTTGTCATGTGGGTGGATACAACTTACACCAGGAATAGAAACTTATGGAATGGCATGTATTTCAGGTTTACGGCTCTGCAATATAAATTTATGATGTAGTTATATGAATTGATAATAGTAACCATAGCTACAATGGCAACTAAAGACTCTAGCCTATACATTTTCTCCCTTTGAGAAAGCCTGGTAGGCCATGTTGAGATACAAAGATGGTTTGAAGCAAAGTAATAAAAACAGGATATTTGTCCTATGCTTACAAACTTGATTGGCACTATAATGTGCTTTATACGATGAAATAACTGTCATTAATTACTCAACAGGGATTGGGGCTGTTGACACCCTGCATTCTTCCCCTTTCAAGCAGGCACTCTCTGTTTAAATACGCCAAATTTCAACCATCAGACAGTCCAAAACGCTACGTTCTCGACTGCTCGTCACTTAGTGGATAGCTATGGGACCAGAATGCATTGATTACTCAGTCAAATTATAATAAACCATTCTTATTGAGAACTTAATCTGAGTTGTTAGGAAGAGCACCAATGTCACACATGTGACAATTTGGCAATTGTTTTCGTTATTGACTGGCAGTTTACATGCATAATAAAATGGATGGAGAAGACATACTGGAACATATCTTCCGAGAACTTAGGAGAAACAAGCCTCCCTTTAATCATTTGTACGTAGCTGGAGTCCAGCATTGCTGCATTCCCAGGATGTTTGTTGTGGGTGACAATGATTTACAGCTGCAGAGTTGCTGGCAAGTGAGCATGTCTAGTGATCTTCCTGGGAAAACTTACACGGAAGATGTACGATGTGTAGTAACGCTGATGAATTCTAATACTCTCCCTGAACACATGTCTAAGTGACAGATGGGAATACTGTTCTTGTGCACAGCTTGTCTGCTTTTCACTGCTGCTTAAGCATCCATGGAAATGTAATTGGCAGGTGATAATGCTTTCTATGATATGTCCCAATGTAAACCTTCTGTATTGAATTGAGTTAAAAGTTGTGTTTTATAAAGATCTACTGTGTCAGTTATAGGTTGACCTATACATCAGGAAATTCCTTAAATATTTCAAGCAACAAGTATTCAGTTATTTTATTTTATTTCATGTGTTGTATAAGGTTTATGTACACATGTATCAAAAGGTCAGAAATCAATATCAGGGGTTTTCCTTATTTGTTCTCCATCTTCTTTTTGAGACAGTTTCTGTCTCTCTTTGAAGCTACTATAATATATTCAACCAGTTGACCATGGTTTCTTTCTGTTTTCTTCTTCTCAATACTGAGACTTCAGCTGTTACTCAAAGCCATGCCTGGCTATTACATGGGCAATATGGAAAGAAATCACACATTTATGCTTGCATGGCACGTACTTTATTGACCAAGCTACCTCTCTAGCCAGCCCCTGCAGAGTAGATATTCAGTATCAGGCTGTTATTTCATCAGGGGTGAAGACTGTGAAACTTTTCAGAAAATAGGGAGGCAGCCCAGAATGAAGACACCATTAAACCTAGAAAAATAAACTGGTGGAAACTGGACTTTTCCACTTATACAAGTGCAGGCTGGATGCAGCCTCAATTGGAGACAATAGCAGGTCTATAGAAGGTGAGAAGCACAACATCCCTGTATGCTCCTGCCCCTCAGGGTCCTAGAAGATCCTCCAATGACTGACCAGAAGGAGGCTGACTGGAAACTGCTTCTAAATGCGTCAGAGGCTGAAACAGGGACGATCCTCCTAAGCGGAGGCTTCTGGCAAAGGGGTGCAGTCTCTCAAATGGAACCAGTTAAGTGGAACCATGGAACCAGTAAAGCAGATCCATGTAACCAGTAAAGTAGAACCTTGGAACCCATAAAGTAGAACCATGGAACCAGTTGAGTAGAACCATAGAACCAGTAAAGTAGAACCATATAAAGCTGGGTTTACTTCACCAAGGCAACCAGGCTTCTGCAAGGGACCTATGGATTAATTTCCTTTTTAACATTAAGGAAAATTTCTTTTTTTTCCGCAAGCTACAAGTCAGTTTTCAGTTTATCAGCAAAGTGTAGTTCATGGACTCAAATCTAATTTTTTCTTCACTTTGACTTAGTCAGAGTTAAGTCTGTATGAGGTCATCGAGGATTTCCTGTTTGATTTTATTTACTAACTACATATATATTTTCCTTCTTTGCACCTTATTAATTTTGTTTGTTTTTCAGCACTTTGAAAAGCTCACTAATATCTTTATTTCATATAAAAACAAATGATAAAAATCTAAATATATAACTAAGTAAAAGTACTATTTTCCCCTCAATGGAATTTGAAGGTGCGTGGATTTTATTTTCTAACTAAATGAAATAAGATCAACTAAATATGCTATATCTAAAGTTAGCCCCAAAATACACATTTACAAGGAATTAGTCTATAGGAATACCCCATAGTAAGACACATATTTAATTGTGCTCTATAAAATAATCATCGACTTTCTTATTTGTATGTTTTTTAGATAATAGTAATTTTGTCCAAATATGTTTATAATAGCTACCTGAATAATATCTTTTCAGTCAATGACAGCTTTTCCTCAAAAATATTGCTATTCCCTTGATCAACAAGTCTGGTCCTCTGCCAGTACCATACTGTTTTAATTACTATAGCTCTATAGTACAATTTAAGATCAGGGGTGTTGATACACACTAGTTATTTGATTATTCAAGATCTTGCTTGCTATCCTGGGTTTTTGTGTTAACATAAGAAGCTGAATATTAACTTTTCAATCTCTGTGAAGAATTGTCTTGGAATATTGATGAAGATTGCATAATACCTACAGATTGCTTTTAGTAGGATGGTCATTTAACTACATTAATCCTGAGTGTATATCTTAATTAAATAATTTTCTTGGGTCCTGACAATCCAGATACCATAAAATATAAAATGGAAGAGAAGTATGTACTCCAGATATGTCTTCTATTATTTTCCACTTTGCATAAATATTAGGACAACATATACAAATGATAAAAATTATCAACCAAAAATCACCCGTTCTAGTTCCTTTTTTAAAAAATGCCTCTTTCCTTTACCTATCAATCAAAAAATTGCATTGTGCCATAAATATTTTCTTGATAACTACTTTAGATGTATCTTCAGTTAAAATACTTAGAACAATGTTTCAGGTTAATGAATGTAAGCATATATATAATCACACTAACATACTGCTTGGTGATAAGTGTGGGTGTAAGGAACTTTCTTAGGCCATTCCTCATAAGAGAATATTTAAGTTCTCCCAAACATTCTTAGAGATAAATGTTTATATTTTTATTTAATTATTCTTTTCTCCATAAGTGCCTGGAAGCAAATAATCACTTCAGAGAGTTTAATTTAGTTGTTTACTTTGTGATATAAAATTGCCTTGCAAAACCACTAGCCTTCTAGGTCCTTATTACTGTTTGTTTTTGATAGGCCAAAAATAAAATTTTATCATTTTTCATTTGTTAATTGACTTCATTTGTACTTCTTTTTGCTTATATGAACTACTTTTTAAAAAATCCACCTCACCTAGATATACAGGTTCAAAAACAAATATTATAATAGAAAAATAGAATGCAATATATATAGCAATTGTCTGAGTTTATTTTGTAGTTACATTTTTAAATTTTGGTGTTTGTTTCTAATTTCATGCACAGATATTGTATTTAAATAATTTCCACCATTTCTAGCCCTCCTCCACATCCCCCTATCAATGCCATGACCACTTAAATTATTATCATTTTACATACGCACATGCACACACACACACACACACACCACCTATTAATTTCATTTCATGTAGCTCATAAGCTCATGTGTTTTGAGTTGACAACTTGCGACTGGATAACGTAGTAGGATGCTCATTTGGAGTGGAAGACAAATTTTCCCTCTTTTAGCAACTATTAATTGCATATAGATTTTTTTCATGTGGGGGTAGGGTTTTGTGAAATATCCCCCATCGTCAGTAACATGTCACGGGTGTTGTCATTGTGCTTGCCTTGTTTAGTGAACCATATCCTTGACTTTCTGTGCATGCAGTTTGCTTGTCACCTGTCATACTATCTCACAGCAGAGGCCCTGGGCCTCTGCTCTCTTACAATCTTTCTCCTTCCTCTTCTTCAGTGTTCCCTGAATCTTAGGTGTAGAAGGAGTTGTGTTGTTGATATACCAATTTGGATTGGATACCCCACAGTAAATTACTCTCTACATCTTGACCAGCTGTGGATTTCTATAATTATCTGTCTGTTTTAAAAAGAAAATAATTTTATGAAGAGTTTAAACCACACATATCTGTGAGTATACTCCTATACTCACAATATCTAGAAGGCAGATAGAATGCAGTTAGGAACTACTACAGCAATTTGGGAACAGGACAATAGTAAGTTCTCAAAGGTTGTTGACTTTATCAGCCATAGGAAGATAGATAGGTTTATAATAATAAACCTTTTTCCTATTGAGTAGGTCCTATGAACTACTGGCCATTTCCTGGATATAAGTGCCACTATCATACACTTGGGATATCTTGCCATGCTGGTCATTGTAGTTTGTTAGCTTTGACGTAGGGTGGGGAATGGGTAGAGTTTTCTTCCTTGACAGCTTACATAACAAGTCCTGACACTATGAGAGCTAGTCCTCAGGGAAGAGGCGCCCAGGCAAGCCCCACTCAATTCTTCCACGTCTTATTTCACAAGTGTGCAGTGTCTTCAGTAAGCAGTTCTACCCTTCTAGTTCTCAGACGTGACTGAGGGCAGAAAATAACCTACAGTATTTGGGAGTCTTTTGTGCTTCCCTGATCAATAAATTGAAGAGAGGATTTCCATGCCTGGCTCTGTTCTGTTGTTGCTGCTGTTGTTTATTTGTTTTATATTGTTTTAGACAGCCTATGTGTCTTGAAGGAAGCATTACCACCTCAACTAC